CCGTGAATGCACCAGATTGGGTTTGTTTCCCAAAATGTCCCAAACTTTAACGTGTTTGTCGGCTGACGATGTCACCAGACATCCTTTAATCTGGCTGCTGAGTTCCAAACCTGCAGAAATGTTGAGATGTTTCGATCATATTTTCATTTTACAGTCAATGTAAGTTCACCATCAAGTAAATCTGTACAATCAGCACTACTCCCAGTACACCCCATGCACCTGAACTATCACACTCAGCTAATTTAACTGTGCAATTATCATTTTTCTGTGCGTGCAATTTTGATATGATATATATGCAATACTGTTATATTGTTTATATTTCATACATTGATGTCACAAGGGCAGAGTTTATACCCACAACTGAAACCACTGTGGTGACTCATCTCTGTGCAAAAGCAATTGTGACATTAAATTTACGAAACACTGCATTGATGCAAGATCTGGAAATTCAGAGACAAAGCAAATCTGAACATGTTTTGATTATAAACATGTTTTGTACTTTAATCATCTCTCACACACATGCGCACACATGTACCTACCTGACACCTCTTCATCATGGGCCTTTAGTGTGAAAACAGGTTTATCTGCACGAGCGTCGAGACAGTAGACAAAGCCGTCTTCTGTGCTCGCCTGAAAAACAAACACACACACACTTAACCACTGAGCTGCTCAGTGAAAAAACAGACAAAAAGAAGAAACACACTTGATTTATAAATGCAAATTGTGGCAAAATTACTATTTACAACCATTACTTGTGTCCAACAGGAAGCTTGTTGTTACTGTGGTTTTGCTTTTAAATGATTATTAAATCCCCAGGAATGAAAAATAAAAACTCCACTGAGAATATCTGCAATAAATTATGTGAAGAAAATATTATTTTCTATAGACAAACTGGAAATGCTTCTTTGAAACAATTATACTTGTTTACTTGCATAAAGCAAATTACAGCATAACAAGTTTCAAAGAGCAAAGATGGGAGGTGGTTATTCTAAAGTTATTCTAAAGTTCGTCTTCTTTCTAATCCAGCAGGAGGATGTGAACCCCTACCAGGAAGTTGCAGGGTGAGAAGTGGTTCCAGACCAGACGCTCCACTTGACCACTAAACCTCCAGGTTCGATAGCTGGTGTCTGGACTGCGGCAGTCGTACAGGACCGCTGTCCTGAAAAGAGAAAGTATTTTAACGTTGAATCTCGAAACAACTGTGAATGTAAAACTTTGTTTTCAGTATTTATCTCATTCAATAACCTACTGATGAAACGTGATGACTCTTACTTGTCATATGATCCTGATATCAGAGTCTGGGCCTCAAACGGGTGGAAAGATATCGTCTGAACCTGGAAGACAAAACATTTTGTTTTCTAGAAGCTGCAGGACCCAATAACGACATTAGCAGTGTTCTTTTAAAAAATGAAATACCTTATCAGTATGTCTGCTAAGAGTTGTGGCTGGTTTGCCCTGAGACAGATCCCACAAGATAACAGTGTTGTCTGCTGATCCACTGGCCAACACAGTCCTGAGTAAGAGAAGGAGTATTTGTTTGAATGTTTACACTGAATTTGACTCTGCAGAGTAACATTACATAAACATAATACAATTCGTACAAAATCCCAACTAGGATTTTATATTTTCCCAGTAAGGAAGGAAAACACATCAGTGAATGTTCCCAGGCGTCAGAGAACTGACCTGGTCAGTCTGTTCCAAGATAAATCCAGCACGGCATCTGCGTGTCCCTCCACAGGCTCTGCTGCTGCTGCGCACTGTTTTCACCAAGAACAGCAGAACAAAGCAACATGTTAATCATTATCTGTGGGAAACAATGCAGGAGAACAAGTCGTGGATGTCCGACAAGTTCTGTAACTTTCTGAAACTGATAACCTGATACTTACACACATTTCCTGGTGTCACTGTCCAGCTGTACAGTGAGAAAATGTTGCTATGTTTCTTTATTCATTACAAAAATACTTCCGTCCCTTTTTATGTGAACAAGCCAGTTCAGAACTTTAAGTGTCTTTAGGGAGAGAGGGTCAGTGAATGGGTGTTATCTCCAATCTAAACTGTATTGAATCTCCCAATCTCTAAAACAGCTAGTTATCACTCCACCTTCAAGTGAAGCTGTTCAGAACAACAATTAACACTTTTGGTTGAAAGATCATTTTGAGAAAAAACTTTTTTGGAGTCAAAAATGTGTAACTTGTGTAACATTAAGAACAGCTTTGTACCCTCTTGTTCTTCTTTTTCTTCTTCGATGCTTTTTTGCTCCCCAGAGAGAAAACTGGCTCCAAGCAGTCCACAACATCCAGGTCCCACACATCTATCTGAGGAGTCATGTTGCCCACAGCGGCGTAGTTTGCTACAAGGAGGACACACAGCACAGAGTTTACAATTTTTAAGACACATTCAATCATTTGCAAGAGACATCCATCCAAAAGATGATAATCTGTAAAGGCCAGAGACAGATATCAGAGTGAGGTATATGACTCCTCACCTGTTCCTTCTCCAGGGTTTGGGTCAAAGTTGAGCCACTCCACACACAGTGGATAAGCTGGCAGCAGAATATCATGATGCACATACAGAGAATCCTCCTCTGAGTTATAAACTGTAAAATAAGATTAAACACCAACTGTTAAACTCTTAAAAATTCACTATTTTCTTGTGTCACTCTGTCATATCAGAGGTATTTACCATGGATCTCCAGGTTGCAGCAGTCCTTCTCGGCTCTGCCTGACAGGATGAGATTGTCGTTGGGCTTGATTTGGAAGTCTTCTCGCTCATATTGGTCCTAGAGGGAAGAAAGAAATCTACATTAAGCAAGATAAATCCTACCTACTCCTTAAGTATAACAGTGTAATTAAATAGTACAACTAGCATCAGAGCTACTATGTCAAGACTTGAAATAACCGTGACATTGATTTGAAGTCACATGTCCCAGCCCTGGCTGTCAGTTGATACCAGGATTCGGGGACTGAGTTTACTGAATCTTAATGGATGTAAGCAATGTGGGAACTCACTGTATCTTTAATTGTGATGTAAGGATCCTCCTCATTACAGCTGAACACTGTGAGTCCAGCCAGACTGTCGCCAAGATTAGCCGTCACTAAGTTAAAGAGCGACAAACAGTAGATACCAGGTCAGACACAAATAAAGTGGAACAAAGAGAAGCAATTAATTAGTTTGGACAGTAAATAGCAAAGAATAAATATATATTGTTCACCTGAATCTTCTTCATCATATCTATCCAGGCCGTACTCTGCCAGATCATCATCTTCCTCTTTTCCTGCTTCATTCTTGTTCTTCGGAGCTTCAGCAACATCAGCTGTAAAGTCATCAGCACTCGGTTCTGGAGGAAAACCCTCATCATCCTCTTCTTCCTCAGCTGCTAGATCCCTGATTAACAGGAGTAGAATAAAAAAACAGCATTAAATCAGCTTCTGTTGTTTGGCTTTACATTAATATGTGCTGCAATGACCCAATTATTCATTGTTTGTTCATATAGAGCAGACTGAAAGATGCCTGTTGTAATTTAGTACAAGATGCTTTGTCCAAAACACAAATATTTGAATATGACAACCAGATAATTTGTGAAAAAATTACAACAACTAAATTCTTGACTCTTGACGACACTTGAAATGATTCAAATTATCAAAATCCTGACTACAGACTAATTTCATGTCATTGTTGTAACTCTACTTTCATTTCAATGGCAGCGATTCAGCTCCTGACATTTAAATATACATTCCGATGAGGGAAAGAGAAGAGAACAGAGGTACAAACGTACCCCAACTCCTGTTTAGCTTCAGTGATGATGCGCTCCAGCTCCTCTTTACTCAACTCAACCTGAAAGGATTCAAATAAAAGTTACACAAACGAGTTAATAAGCTCACGAGAAAAATGATTCGTAAATCTAATTGTACATATTTATAACTATGAGTGTTAGACAAGGGACCGGAGAAAAGGTTGACTTTTCATTTTCATCTCATTGGAAAGACCTCAGTCACTCTGAAACCTGTTGCTGGATCATTTTCTATATGATTAACTTCAGCAACTGAAATGACTAAAGTACATATTTAACTGTCCAGTTGGATTTAAAATCATCATCAAAACTTTATTACACGCGACAGTTTATGTATTTGTTTTCATCAAACGACTAAAACAACAGTGAACCTGCCATGTTGACACATTAGCCTGTCGCTAACGTTAGCTCGTTGCTAGCTACTCACTTTGTCCGGGGTTTCCTTGGAGACGCCTCTGCGCACCCAGCCGACACATGTGATCTGTGAACTCATCGTGAACAAACTCACATTTATTTTCACGTCAACACAACAAAGTGTCTGAATCTGATCCTTCAAACTGCTTCAGCTCGGACACGCACACAGTGGGCGGACATGTGAGTGTGAGCGGACCCCGGGTCGCGTGTCTATGACGTCGTGAGGGCATCAAACCATCTGCCTGATCATAAATATAGAAGCAACATACAGATATAATTTAATAAAAAGATGAAATAACTCACTTTCTTTTTTGTAATACAAAATGCAAATTGTGTAGAGGGTGAGTGAATCTATTATAGACCTATCATTTAGGATATGATTATTTTATTAAGGTGAGATTTTCTGTTTATATCCATGTTTGCGACAATTCTAAAAGCTGCTCTGCCACATTCCATTAGTAGATACCATCAGTCTGACGTCACAGTACTGTCCCCAGAATATAGAGAAAATATTTCTCTGAGCATCGTTTTAATCTGATAACTTCTGTTCATCTCCTTGATCTTGAGATCAGGGGCTCATCACCTGGAAAAAAGATACTTCTGCTGTTGCCTTGACAAACAACATGGTTGTGTGAACATGAAGATGAGGATGAGACGTGAATCAAAAGAAAACTTGACAAGCAGCTAGAAATGTTGTTTTTGCTGCCCTCCAGTGGAAACTGATGTCACTGTTTGGCTTTAAGGTACAAATTTAAAAACACAAGGGACATTTTTTTATAAAACAATTTAATGGCACAGTATAAAACACTAAAACAACAGACATATGCATCATCAGATACTGTATTGCTTGTATATGATACTGTTACGCAGTGTTTATAGTAGCATTGTTCAAATCTAAAGGCCAGGTAGTAAAACAACAGTGGTAATGGTCTGTAGAAATCAGCAATGCCACAGGAAAAGGTTTAATTACTGCAGTGGCTTAATATCAGAACAAGGAAGGAAAGCAGAGTTCAACCAGTTAAAGATAAAAATGGACAAACAGTGACAGTCCAGCAGATTGTCAAAGTTTAGATTGATACAGAGGAGAAATCTCGAATTGCTTCTCAGAATTGCTTCTGTGACCGCAGCAGGTATTGTCTCTTGAAGCTAGCTTGACTACTTGCTATTGCATCTATAATTTCTGACATTTTAATGGGCATTTACAAAGGCTGGGACTTTTGCATTGTGGGTATGGGTTAGCGGGATCTTTGTGTGTGGCTCAACCCGAATCCGAGTGGCGTTTGGTTTTCTGGGTCTGAACCTGACCTGGGGTACGGTATCCACAGTCTAGTGCAGATGTGTTTGGAAACTCTGCTCGTGCTTTAGATAATTACTTCAACAATCTTTTCTTCACAAGTGCTAAGGGGCAGCAGCAGCCAGGCCCCGGGAAAATGACACCAGGGGACCCTCCGTCAGTAAATTCACCACATACCACGGATTTACTGCACTGCCTTTATCACAGGATATATGTGGGGCAGCTTAGAGATCATGGCACAAGAGTGGGTCTCTAACAAGTGCAAAGTACAACAGTAGAAGTGAGTAAGTGGATAAAGACTTCACTCACATCATCAAAGCACTTTAAACCACTTGGTAATGAGCCTTTAAAATAACAGAGAAATAATGGGCCACTGACTTCAGACCAGGTTTTCATCACTTTCCACTGCTTCAATGCGCCTGAAAGCACCTAATGTTTCCACTCCCATGGATGCTCAGATAGATGCAAGTGCATTTTACATCAACAACATTGGCACTGGATGGGAAACTGACAACTTCATTGGTCTAAAAAAAGCCATTAAAGATGCTCGCTGTTGCTTTTGAGCCCTTGGAGTTCTCTGACACTACAGTAATTTTGTTCTAGTTCCAGGGATGTTAGTCTAAAACAAAAGTCAGTTTTCAACATTGTATTCAAAGGTTTAACATGTTTTCTGTATATTAATACTGATATTGTAGGACAGCGTTGCAGTAATTCGACCTACAGGCTTTTTCCACAGCTTTCAACCACATTGTTTAAAACCTCAACACGTTCCAGAAGAAGGTTCTGTGGAGTCCGAAATGTGAGACAGTGGTTTTGAGATGAAGAGCAGACAACAGTGGTTCCTCCTTTAAAAACCATCCTCTGTCTTACTGGCTGTGGCACATCTTCCATGACAACAGTATGCTCCTTATTTAAAGTCTTGTTGAGCAGTCATGTCAAAAATCCAGTTCGATCTCCTCTTTGGCTGCTGTTTGCTCGAAAGTGTCGTCGCTGTGCGGTTTCAAACGTTTGGTCACCAGCTTCAGGTTTGTCTCGTGGAGGATGACCTGGGTCAAGTACTTCTCTCGTTTGATCTGCTCTTTGACAGCGTACGGGACGTCCGGGATCATGTAGGACAGGATGAACTTGGTGAGGTAAACAATGTGCTGTGAGGGAAAAAGAAGACATTTATGTGTTGATACAAAATTTGGGGGTGAAGTTAAACTCAAATCAAGAATTAAAAGACTTTCCTGTCAAATATGTTTTAAGCAAAACTGTAAAGCTTTAAAAATGAAAAGAATATTGAAATCAATCATAAATTTAACTGGCAGCCAATGAAGTGATGTGTATATATATATATATATATATATATATATATATATATATATATATGTGTGTATTTTATTCAAGGACGATTTCCTGTTATGTATAAACTCACCTCTAGAACAATTATAAAAGCCATTTTTGCTGCAACCACATGCCAGTAGTAGACGTTGTGCTCGTACTGTCTGTTGTGACCCGGAGCATAACGAAAATCACGATACCTAAAAAAGAAAAACACACAAGCGGGACTCTTCTTACATTTATGTCTTTTCAAGCATCTGTGTTTGAAAACCTTGTATTTTGTGTGTAGTTTAAGACCTTTATAACTCAAACGTCTTGGTACCTGCAGGTGGTGATGGTGGAGTTGATGTCTGATGAGATGGGTCTGCTGGAGGCGGAGAAATCGCTGGTGTTGAATATGGACAGCGAGCTGTTGATGTAGCCCTCCATGGTGTTATTATAGTGATCTCCATACGGGTACACAGAGAAGGACCAGTAGTACACCAAGCGAGGAATCATGTCTGACGTGAAGGCGATGATCATGGCCTGTAGAGACACCAGGAGTGAATGTGGTGAAGGTAGTGATCATAACACTCTGGGTGAATGCCATTTTTATACTTTTTGACATGTACCTCTACTGATATAGATCCTACTTTTTGAACTTTTTACAATTATATCTAATAAACAAATAACTTGGTATAAACAGTGACGTACATTTGTTGCGACAGCCAAGATGGCGATACCCTGAAGAATGGGCTGCCAGGCTCCTATATCCTGGGCTTTCTCCGGAACCACGCGTCGAAACTGCGTGGTGATTTTCCAGGCATCGACCCGGATCTCAAACAGGTTGTTGACCAGAGCCAGGACCGGAGCCAGAGGGAAGGACGCCACGAACAAGGTCACAAAGCCAAACTGGATGACTGTGAGAGAAAAATATATATACGTCAAAAAACTGTTGAGTACCCAGGATTCGTATATTTATTAATTACTGTCAATGAATCAGTAGTGCATGTAAATTCCCTCATTTGTTCTTTAATGTTCTTTCAAACTAATTTACTACATAGGGTTTCATTCATTTATATGTGCATGAGGAAATACATGTTACAGAAATAACAGTATCACATATTAGCAAGCTGTGTGTTACATGCACACTTAAATCCTGGTTATGTTTTTTTTGCAGCAGCTAATCCAAGTTTCAGGATCCCGGATAAGATCCTGGTTTTGTGAATCCTGGATAAACTACACCCAGATCACACCTTATCCAGGTTTCTGAATTATCTCATAGACATTAAGACACACACGTATTGTTGGGATCATGTAAACAGAGACATTAATAACAACATTGTATGGGATACTAATGCTCAGGAAGGAGGTGAAGAAGTCCTCTTACCCATTTCAAGATATTCATAGAAGAGTCCGTGCTTTGAGAGGGCCTGGAGCTGGTAGTCCTGCTCCCAGCGAGGAACCACCTTCTCTGAGGCCACACGGGTGCAGTACCGGGAAATCAAATTCTTCACCCACCTGTGGAGGGTGGGATGAGATCATACAACAGTGAATCAGATAGAAGAAGGAGCGGTGAAGTACCATTAGCCCTGTTAACCAGTGACCTTGGAAAACAAACAAGATTTTGAGGATAAATTCATAATGTCTGAATATTACTCGATGTAATTTCCTCTCATTATATTAAGATTTTTGTTCTCAAAATCTCATTATTCGTTTTCATCACTACAGGTTTAATAATCTGCCGTAGCACGAAGAAAACACATTTATGTCTATCGTCATAGCAACATGCTTCATCTGTAAGTTGTCACTGTGTCGCCTGTTTTATGTTAAAGTAAAAAGACTGACGACGTACGGTAGCAGGACTTCCTGGATGTTGTTCCAGATGGCTTTTCCCCCCATGATGATGGAGAGCTGAGTCGTCAGCTCAATCAAACATCCGCCTGGGTCACACTGCAGGGACGAGGCTCAGGTTAAGAGTCAAAAATAACAAGCGACTGAGTTCAACGTGTAACACCCAGATGGACAAACAGTACCTCCTCGTTCCTGTACTTTCCCAGAAGATAAACAGGCCGCCCGGGATAGCTGACTGCTTTCCCTTTGGCAAAGGCGATGTAGAAACACGAGGAGTAATAGTTGACGAACTGAAAGAGGAACATCTTCAGGGTTAAGCTGTTCTCATAATCCGTCTTGGTCCGAGGGAGTTCTGTTATTGTGTGTGAGAGGACAGTTTAGTATAAAACCACAGATGAGTAAAGACGGAGCAGATGCAAGCGTCAAACTGACCGAAGTTAGTGATCCAGATGGCGACGCGCTCATAGAGAATATTGAGGATCATGATGACAACAAAGCTGATGAGCGAGGCTGTGACGGACGTGGCCATCTGAGGCGTCACGTACTCCTTCAACGGCTCCAACTCCTTCAGTTCCTGGTTTCTGAATCTGCTGGAGAAGGTGAAGAAGACGGCCAGGCGGTACACGATGACGGCCACAATGGACGCCAGGATCAACAGAATCTACAGGACAAGGAAACAATTACACAGATTAAAGTTTAAATCGAAAAATATCGCTTCATGGATATGGATCAATATTTGAATGGTTTCAGAATTATTACAAATTCGCTCCCAGGAAAGAGCAAAGGATTTCGTGTTTATTATAGGCAAATCATTTAACTAGAACATTTCCAATTAGCACTGAATTAGAATAAAATACATGTATTTTATTTGCACAGTGCCAAATTGTAACATACATCATCTAAAGGCACTTTACATAAAAAGGTCAAGACATTATATTAAACATATATACAGAGAGTTATGTTTCAACAAATAAGTAACATTTATATTCATGCTGATTTAAAATTGACCTTTTCTTTCAAAGAAATTACAATTCTATATTTAATCAACAAAACTTCATGGAAAATTGTTAGTAAATTACAAACTGGTAAAATAAAGTGTTTCCTAAAAGAAAAGTTAAATAAAATTTGTATTATTACCCAGAAAAGGACAGTCCCTATTCCTATCGACACACGAACACATCGTCCACAGGCTGTGTAGGGAACTTTTTCTTTCACCTAAATCACAAACAAACATTATGAAATACTTAGTTTTAACAAGAACACAACACAACTTTAGTTAGAATCCATATTTTTCTTTGTTTAGATCTCTAAACACAAAACGATATCTGGCTATGAGATTATTGCGTGTGTGTGTGTGTGTGTGTGTGTGTTTTACCCCTGTGACAGGATTTTTCCTCTCATAGATACACTTGGCCTCGTACTCGGGGCGAGACGGCTCCTCCTGCTCCAGAAACTCCACAGTGTCCCACTCGTACTCCAGCTCCGCCTGGTAACGCTTCCAAAACTCCAGAAATAATGTCACTGCGCCCGGAACGAGAACAGGGAACAGCAGGGAAACAACGACGCACATAATGAAACAATATTCTCAGTATTTTCCTCAATCTTCATCCATTAACACTTGTGCAGTAAAAAGTAAAAAATATTATTTTGGCTTTTAGGTAAAATTAACAGCCAAAGAAACAATTTGGGTTTAAATCAGGGAATGTGATCTGTGGGAATACATATCTTGCAATACTTAAATAAAACTCACCCCAGATTGACATGAAAACTGCAAACACCATGGTCCCAAAGTTATCAAATATACAGATTTTCTGAAAAGATAGAAAAGACAGTTCCTTTAGGCTGACATGCAAATTAGCTCTAAACCAGACTGTTGCTGTTTGACTGGAGATGAACAGCAGCCACATACATTTAAATATGTAAAGAACCCTGTAACTGTATCCTGCACCAGTGCAGTGAGAACAGATGAGGGGCTTGAGTTTAAAACTGAGCCTCACAAACAAACAACAGTTAATTATATTCATCTTCTTTACTCTCGCTCCACCAAGGTTTTTTACGTTTGTTTGTTTGTTTTTGCAATTTAATTGTGGTTCCATGAGGGAGGTATGTACTCTGGATTTGACTGATACTGTAATATTAGAGGGTAGAATCCTTTACTCTAAAAATAATAACGATTAACAGTGTATTAAGAAGCCCTTTGCTCACAGAATCTATGGTCAAAATACAATCCAAAACATTTTTTACATGAACTCAGGTTGAAATAGACGAACACTCACTTTTGAAGCTTCACAGGTGGAGTTTAACCTCCAGTATTTGCAGAACCTGTCACACTGTGGACACATCACTATGTTTCCTCCAATCGCAGGGTCGCACACCTCTTTACTGCAGAAAGACAGAAAGACAGTGAAGTCGACAACACAAAGCATTTATACAGAAATAACATGATTGTGCAGCACGTTGAATATATGATGAGTTCATAGTAAAGTATCTTTCAAATGCTAATGAAGAAGAAGAAACAAACCTCCAGGTGCTGGTTTCTTGAGTCCTGTATCCATAGATGAAACAGCCCAGTCCCACGACAGCAGCCAGAGCGAGCATGACCGTGTAGAAACCCAACCAGGCAAAGTAAATACCAATCTTCTCTCCGTAATACTTCCTGTAGGGAGATAAAGAATTGTTTTTAAACACCTACTGGATTCAAACACTGTCATTTAAGTGTTTGAATCCAGTGAGGACAACTTAAAACCTTGCGCTCACCTGATCAGGTCGAGTGGTTGCATCTTGTAGAAGCTTTTAGGATGAGCCCACTCTTCATAGAGCAGGTATCTCTCGTTGGGGCAGCCCTGCTCTGTGGACCTGACGTTGAACCTGCACTGTAACAACCGACAAGGAGAAGTAACTCAAAGGAACTGTGCATTTACAATGTAAACTACATACACTTAAGTAAAGAAGAAGAAAGTGGGGCCACTTGCGTCATGGAGGGGATACGCAGCTTTGTACACTCCACCATCCAACAGTTTGGAGATGCCAAACTTCTTTCTACTTCCTCTTATTTCATAGGGAGCACGACTCAGGATGTAATATGCCTGAACAAAGAAAACACATTTACCTTATTTTGTTAAATATTTGTTATCTTTTGTTATCATGTGCTGAGTAAAAACTTCATAGATACATATACAGCATGGACACACCACAGAATAAATATACAAAACTAATGAAAAGCAGCAGAGGGGTCATGAATACCATGTCAGTCAGTCAATTATACCATATGATCAGGAATGATTGGTTTATCTCATTCTGATTGGTTGAAGAAGTTATTACTAAATAATATAATGTAATTTTCTGACAATCAATCATTGGTATAGCCAACATTTTGTTGACCTTGACCTCTGACCTATCAGCTCCAAAAGTGAATTATCTTTAGATATCAGCCTGAGTAATAAGTTAGGTGAAATACACACACACACACACACACACACACACACACACACACGCAGCCTGAGTTGATACAACAGCAACACGTGTCAACTTGCCATCCTGCTCCTCATGGACGGAGTGAAGAAGACGTCTTGGTCCTTCATGTAGAAATAATCCAGACGGTCTTTCTCAAAGGGGGCCGTGAAGAACTCCGTCTCCTCGCTGATCAGCTCCTGGTTGGGGTAGAAGTACTTGGTGATGCAGGAGATAAAGCGCCACGGCGAGGGGCGGGAGGACAGGTCATTGGGCTGGATGGGCAGCTTGATGTGCAGGACCTCGGCGTAGGTGCACAGCACGTCCCACGGCATGTGGACCTTGATGAACGTCAGTTTCTCGTCTATGACCTGCAGAACGCAGAGTTTAGTCCAAAGGAGAGAAAAGCGGAAGGGAAACAGCAGCTTGAGCGAGAACTCACAGAACGGGTGGCCTCCAGCTCCATCCCCATCTTCATCAAGCTGGCCTCAAAGTACTCTCGTCGCCTCTACAGAGAAAAACACAGAAATAAATGCATGACATTACCGTATGTGTATGACTGCAGGGGGAAATGATTTGAAGAGTTCCAGGGTGACACAACAAAGACTTGTGTTTTCATCTGTGTTTGTTGGTGAGTTAGTTCGCAGAATTACACAAAAACTACTTGTGGGACGGATTCTGGACCAGGACAGAAGCCATTTAATTTTGGTGTGGATCCAGATCAGGGGGCGGATCAAGCCTTTCTTTTTCACTTCCTTTAACATTTCTGTAATGCAGAGATCTTTACAAAAAAAATGCGCACAGTGCTGATATCTAAGAACAGGTGTTTAGTGTAAACACATTGCAGAACATGTCTGTGCACATGTTATATGTATCTGATCTCAATACATGTAAATACAATATGGAGAAGTGGCCGATAAGCCTTGCGTTTTACGAGTTCCCTTCTAGTTTCTATTTTATGTGACTATTTACACATTAGCACCTTGATTAGCTTTAAGTCAATTTCAGATATGAGAGCTCTTATTTGGAAATTTTCCATTTCCATTTGCACAGAGCATAGTCATTATTTACACTGTACATAAGCCTTATGACTGAAAATACAGCCAACGTGTCTGAGCAGGTTCTTGCTGGGGGTTTATTATGACTGAATCCAGGATCCACTTTTTAACTGTTACGCAGTTAAAGCCGGCTACAGAGAACTGAATGTATGCATTATATTTAGTTAATATTGATGAAAAAATGGCTCTATACAATTCATGAAAGCCTTTTTGATAATTTGAGATCATTCTCATTTTTACATAAGATTATGAATTCAGCCTCATTCTCATTACACTTCCATCGAGGAAACTTAAAAATACAAATTTGTTGATTGTCTCAGTCAGAACCTGTTTTCATGACGTGCAGGAAGTACTGATAGGAATGTGGAAATTTAGACAAACATAACAGAATATAAGTCAATAAGTCAATTCAGCATCATTTTACGCAAACAACTCCATGAGAACACAACCACACCCGACCTGCAGTCAGGACAGATTTCAGGGCAGACGGAGTGGAGGGTGTGCCGGGCAGAGACGGCCGCGCTCCACATCCCCCTCTGGATTTAATTTGACTTATGATGATTGTGAATGAGGGATTGCCTCAGTCTCAGAGAATCTGTGGTGAAGACGCTCTGACTCAGTCCTGCTTGTTCTTTAACAGTTTGTACATCATCCCCCACAGAGAGACTTGTCTTCTGTCTTCACCCACTACATCTTTCTGTTCTCTAATTTTATATTAATGAGGAATTGTGACTTTCAGTCTCCGCACGACTTTGTCTGCATTTCAGTTGCAACACTGCAGGTAACTAAGGTCTGGGGATCAACAGTATTTTCCAAAGAGTTGTTTTGCACATCACTGTGAACCTATTGTGAAAGACGCAGGTAGCAACAAACAACACACCTGTAGATGTCAGCTCATGTCTCATTGTTCTTTGTCTGTGCACGTTAATCCCTGCACGGATTTCTGACATCTACATTTGTCATGTGTAAAAAATAAAATGCCTGGAATGTTAAATAGATAGATTTAGATAAATAAATAGATGAGATATGAGCGAAGGAGAAACGCTCTGAACAGTAGCTGTACTCATCACATCACAGCTGATATGTGTGTTGACAGCAACAGGACAAATCCACTGTATAACAAACAAGGTTCAATTTCCTGGATGACAAAAGGTCTTTGACCGTGGCGCTGAATCGTGGGTAATTAATTAAGTCACCGACTCACTGTCATTCTGGGGCAAATAAAAACACCCTGAACAAATAGTCAAGAGTCAATACAGTTTGTATGTGTAGTAAAGCAGATAAAGGAAATCATGTTTAACTGAATATTCAAGTCATAATTTATATCTTTACAGTGAAAAGTCTAAAAACTCTACATTTAAGATTCTATAATTAATTGTAATTATAGTTATATGGTTGTCTGTTTGTCAGTGTTCCAGGGATTTGAAGCTTTGAATACATTATCTCACATCCATGGTTTGAGTCTGACTGGTTTATTCCCACCGCCACTCTCACCCCATCACCTCTCTACTGTGCATCAGCTCGTAACAAAAAAATAGTGAAGTGAAGAATGAGCAGGTTATTTAGGATCAAATTTGTACATTTTTGTTTCAAAATAAACTAAAAAACAAAATCATCATCGGACCAGACCTACCTTGTGTCTCTGGAACGTGTGCCTCTTCTCGAACTCCTTCTTGTCCTCGTCCTCGTAGACCAGGATGAAATCGATGCGCCGCACGCCATCGTTGAAGAACAAGGAGTCAGGTTTGTTGTTGAACTCCTCCTGGGGACAGAAACAGGGCTCGTCAGATAATTCTGCAGCCTGGAACTCGTACACCTCTTCCTCCATGATGTCGTACATGTTGATCGGAGGGAGGACAGAGGGGCCAGTGTGCAGAAAAGAATGTGCACAGAGACTTAAAAACTGTCCTTGACCAGCCCATTCAACCTGTGATGTGATGTGGGCCATGCAGGAGAAATGGGAAGTCAACAAACAAAGCAACACCCGCCCTTTGTTTCTCTCTCTCTCTCTCTCTCTCTCTCTCTCTCTCTCTCTCTCTCTCTCTCCTCTCCTCTGAACATACATAAAAGTCTCTACAGGCACATACATGACTTTATTTGCCTGATTTTATATTGTGGTGTGTTTTGTGTAGTCATCATGTCTTCATGGAGCAGCAACCTCACTATAACCATCATTTACAGTTGACAAATAAAGGTACATGATATTTGTAAGACACAAATATCATGACAGCAATCAGTAACTCACCAGTTGTGTCTTGGTGACTTTGGCTCCTTCTTTAATCGAATGATATGTTGGTAAAAACTCCTCAGGATAAACTGAAAAAGAAAAGAAAAGCAGATGAGAAACAGACATGATGATAATAAAATGAATCCAAAACCGGAGCCTGAGAAATTCATAATAACAGATTAATATTGTCACCTTATTAACACAGATAAATCATTAAATATCATCATGTATGTTGTGAACAAAAAATAATACTGACTTTAAAAATGCATAAATATTTTTATAATACATAAAATATAAATAATATATAAATGTTTCTGTATATATTAAATGTATGGTTTCAATTTTACTATCATCTGTAAAAATGTAATGTATTGTTCCACTAACATCTTTTCTCAGACATTTGTCGTTTGACATGTATAATCTCAGAACAACAGCACCACTTCTACGAGCGGCTGAAACAAATGACCTTCACTACCGTTTTCTGATAGGCACATTATTATATGGCTCTTCTCTGAATCACCTGTGTGGGACAGACCTTATAAGGTTACAGCATCAGACAGTGAGTTTAACTGCCACTTATCTGCAGCTCAGCTCAAGCTTCACTTCTTCTGACAAAGAAACCGCTCAAAGGTTTAAAGTTTAGAAACCGTAGACCAGATATAAAGATGGAAGACGTGTCCGCACTTCCCCCTGTTGATGAAACGGATGTGGGTGCCACCATCTTGCACTCTTACAGTAGTGATAGTGGTGTGGAGCTGTGGTAGGGCGGCTGATACACACTCTGTACCAATCATCAGTCAGTTTCAGCTGTCAATCATGACATTTCACCATATCTATATAAAATCAAACATACCAGAAAAATCTGTGTGATAATAATGACCTAAAATCTTTATTTAACATATGCTTTGCCTTTAATTTGGCTGATGTCCCAGGGCCGCCTGCTTCTCATTTCCAAAACGGCCTGAAGGACTGAACCAGTGACTCTGCAGTTACAGGCCTGTTTCCCTTCACATCATGTTGTTCTGGCTGCTTTTTAATTGCTTGCAGACAATTGCCAACTCCCCACAATGCTTTACTCCTCCCTGGAAAAAAACAAAGCTCTCCACCTTCTGTTGTTCAAACTCTGACCACTGCAGTGTTGAGGATTCACTCCACCAACCACATCCACACCACACAACCATCTTCATAGCATTACACTGTGAGAGCCTTCTGGTTTTTTCATGAGACAGATGCTACATCATCTGATATGGAAAGTCCTGCAATATTTCCATTTAAAGTGGAACATGATGAGGAAACTAACTGAAGACAGATGCTGTTTTCAAAACACGAGCCATAGTAACACCACGGAAAACTGAACTTATTTGACTTCCCCTTCACAAAATGTACTACCCAGCTGAACTGTTCTCCTTCTGTCAGGAGCATCGTCTGTCTTATTACACAGACATGTATTCATTCATTCTGCTGTGCTTGTCTGAATTAACAAGATTATAGATAAGATAAAAAAACAGCATGTGGTTTGGGTTTTCAAACAGAAAGTAAAAGGATTTTGAGCAATATTGTTAATCCAGAAACACAGGGCAGAATTTTTTTGCAGTAATTGCAATACACTTCCATGGTAGGCCTCACAGTATTCTCATAATAAACTGTATATGAGCTGAGATAACCACTGTGCGGATCTTACAAGAATTTGGTGTTTAAAAGGTTAAAAAAAATGTTTACGTCTTTGGATGGTAAAGTTCCCGGATTTTTATTTTCTAATTTCCCAACTTTGATTTGTAAAAAAAATGTGCAGCCGCTACTGAGTCATTAAACCCATTATAACACTATTTCACAACGTCTGGCTGTGACCTACATCGAGTCAGTAGGTTTGATGCTTTTGAAAAAACCTTGTGCTGTCACTGATAAAAATCTGCTCTCTTGCCACAACCCACTCTGCCAGGCCCCACTTCCTCTGAAGAGAACATCCTTCGCAGCAACAAATGCAAAACACAACACAAACATGAATCCACTCACAGACAAGTTGTCCTTCATGCCCTCTGACAGGAACTCCTTTTCTGAAACTAACATGGGGGCATTTTATGACTCCAAAAACTCCATTGTGATGTCTTCCTCTGGATCAGAAACAACCACTGAGGTCTCTGCATCAGTACAAACAGACGGTGCCTGGAATTGTATTGTTTTGCATGTGAAACAGCATCAAAGGTAAAACATGTCCACTGAACAAAGCCTCCAGCACAGAGGATGTGGTAAACAGTTACTATGGGTAAAGGGGGTGAAAATTGGGTGTGGCTCGGTCTCGGCTGTACGAGCAGTGTGTGTATGATGTATGATAGAAAAAGTTCCGTGTACAGAGGCGCTGTATGAATGTGTGTGTGAATGGGTGAATGCATGTGGCTTGTAGTGTTAAGCTCTTTGGGTGGTCAGTAGAAAAGTGAGATATAATATGAGATATACAACTGTCAGACCTGTGTAAAGACAGAGGATTGGTTCACAGACCCAAAAGAATCAATCTTTTTTATTAATTAATTTGTGTTAATAGTTGAATTGTATTCTAATTTTACTAATTATTATTATTATTACAATTGGTATTTCATATTCTAGGAAGAATGCCTGATATGCAGAAAGAGTTCCATGAATTTTTATTGAGCATGTCATTAAATGTAAGTATAGTTTGAACAACTTTTCTTTATCACTGTTGCAGCAAAGTGTGAACGTCTATAATTCATGGGCCCCATTAAGCAGAGTGCATTTCACCAGTGCCCTCTGTGGTCTAGTGTGAAAAGCAGCGGGGATTTCCACATGTTTAGTACCTTTTCCATTTCAGTCACAACTATAGATGGCAACCCAAAGGAGCATTAGTCTGTGGGTGAAGATGAAACTAGTGCAAAGTGACAGGAAGTCACTCTGAGGAGACAGACCCGAAGGAGCGAACACACACTGAGACGTGTTTGCTATAAAATTCCCAGGCAACGGTGATGTAGGAGGCGTCCAACACTGACACTTTTCAAATTCTTCACATGCTTCAACACTCAGTGAAGATGTGGCTCCAGTTGTCAGGAATGCAAGAAACAAAAGAACGCGGAAGAAAGCGAAGAGTTCCACATCAATGTCACATCTATAACTCGAAGAGCAATGTTAGATGTGTTGTGGTGTTTGATCAACCAATGATTAAGAAATGATATCAATGCTGTGGAAACTGTGGTGCGGGCTTGTGTCATGTGAAAGAATGTGAGCACCACACCCCCACAGATGTTAAGCACAACTGTTACATGCTACCGAGCATGAAGGCCACTCCTCAGACTCCAGCACTCACAGCTCAGTTTATTTAATCACCTCCCGCTGATTTATTTCACCTTTAAATGATAAACAACACAAAGGAACAAGTGTTTCCTGGTGGTGGAAATGGTATTTGTGTTGTGAAAGAAAATGATGACGTTAGTAAAAGAAGCAACAGCTCAGAATGTGTCAGAAGCAGAAGATAAAGCAGAGGCAGAAAAGTGGGTTATGTCAAAGTTATAGTCAAATGATAACCACATGGACAAAGTGGACATGTGCCAAGAGCCCTGGAGCCGATGAGACAGACCCACGTGCCTCTGTACGACATCTGATGGTCATCGACGTAAGACATTTCTGAGCACGGCCTTTTTGAAACCAAAACCAAAAGTCGAAACAATCGCTACGTTGTTGTAGGTTATACTTGGACACACACACAGTCTGCGTGTACTACTTAAATATGTGGGTAGGAGTCTGCAGCATACTATGTACATACAATGATCACACAGTAGGATATGTATTATATGCACACTCCTAATCCTCACAGGAAGAGAAACTGCAAATTTCAAACTAAAACGTCAGTCAGTAAGGCTCACGTCTCCACCAGGGCCCAAGAGTCTCTTCAATTCAATTATGCTGCACCACATTTCACACAATCATAAATATCAGTCCCTAAATATGTCAGATTCTTTTCTAATCAAGATCCATGAATCACTCTCTGGGGAAATTGTGAAAATGTTAAAATAAAGAAATTGGATCTGCATCAAAAACCTGGTGCGATTTTCCCAAACCCACACCACATCCATCAAGAACATACCAACCAACCAACCAACAAACAGGGGTGAAAACATAAGCTTCTTGGCAGAAGTAATAAATCCACTGGAGTGACAAGTCTACTAACTCCCTCTGAAATGTGGGAATAAGAAAGAAAAACTCAACCCCTGAAGAGACCATAGGGCTGGATGAACAAAACTCATGTCAAGATA